ATGGTTACTGTCGCCGCGTTCTCTCCTGTTGATGGTTACTGCCGCCACTTTCTCTCCTGCTGATGGTTACTGCCGCCACGTTCTCTCCTGTTGATGGTTACTGCCGCCACGTTCTCTCCTGCTGATGGTTACTGCCGCCACGTTCTCTCCTGTTGATGGTTACTGCCGCCGTTCTCGCCTGCTGATGGTTACTGTCGCCACGTTCTCTCCTGCTGATGGTTACTGCCGCCACGTTCTCTCCTGTTGATGGTTACTGCCGCCACTTTCTCCTGCTGATGGTTACTGTCGCCACGTTCTCTCCTGTTTATGGTTACTGCCGCCACTTTCTCTCCTGCTGATGGTTACTGCCGCCACGTTCTCTCCTGTTGATGGTTACTGCCGCCACGTTCTCTCCTGCTGATGGTTACTGCCGCCACGTTCTCTCCTGTTGATGGTTACTGCGCCACGTTCTCTCCTGTTGATGGTTACTGCCGCCACGTTCTCTCCTGCTGATGGTTACTGTCGCCACGTTCTCTCCTGCTGATGGTTACTGCCGCCACGTTCTCTCCTGTTGATGGTTACTGCCGCCACTTTCTCCTGCTGATGGTTCTGTCGCCACGTTCTCTCCTGCTGATGGTTACTGCCGTACTTTCTCTCCTGCTGATGGTTACTGCCGCCACGTTCTCTCCTGCTGATGGTTACTGCCGCCACGTTCTCTCCTGCTGATGGTTACCGCCATTCTCTCCTGCTGATGGTTACTGCCGCCACTTTCTCTCCTGCTGATAGTTTACTGCCGCCCGTTCTCTCCTGCTGATGGTTACTGCCGCCCGTTCTCTCCTGCTGATGGTTACTGTCGCCACGTTCTCTCCTGCTGATGGTTACTGCCGCCACGTTCTCTCCTGCTGATGGTTACTGCCGCCACGTTCTCTCCTGCTGGTAGTTACTGCCTTACTTTCTCTCCTGTTGATGGTTACTGCCACGTTCTCTCTAATGGCCAACTTATCAATATGTTAATTTATCATTTCATATAATGAAAATATTTATAAAGATGAGAATAGGCCTTTGTAACTACTGCTGACTCAAAGAGAGTAACCCTAGTGTTGGCTCCCAAATAGACCCCTGCGATAGAAGTCCTAATAATAATAACAAGTCCTTCTTACCACTTTCATATATTATATACATTTTACCTTACAAGCAAATGTCTCGTAAATGAAGTGCTACAGAGCAGTAATTTGGTGGGTCAGAAGGCACACGTTGATTATTTGCCACCGACACATCTGTACATTTGTGTTGACCACACCCAGCCCCAGTGTCTGGGGACCACAGCAGTGTCTTGGGACCACAGCAGTGTGTCTTGGGACACACCCAGCCCCAGTGTCTTGGACCACCCAGCCCAGTGTCTTGGGACCACCCAGCCCCAGTGTCTTAGGGGCCACACCCAACCCAGTGTCTTGGAACCCACACCCAACCCAATGTCTTGGGAGCCACACACACCCAACCCAGTCTTGGGGCCACACCCAACCCCAGTGTCTTGGGAGCCACACACAACAGTGTCTTGGGGCCACACACCCAACCCCAGTGTCTTGGGAGCCACAGCAGTGTCTTGGGAGCCACACCCAACCTTGTTGATGTCTTAGGGCCCCAGACCCCCTGCATGGGTCATCCTGCCATAAGTACACCCAGACCACCATGGGTCATCCTGCCCTAGAGGTACACCCAGACCCCTACATGGGTCATCCTGCCATAAAGGGGTACACAGACTACCATGGTCATCCTGCCATAGGGGACATACAGACCCACCATGGGTCATCCTGCCATAAAGGTACCCAGAACCCCACCATGGGTCATCCTGCCATAAGGACACCCAGACCCCACCATGGGTCATCCTTCCATAAGAGGTACACACCAGGCCACCATGGGTCATCCTGCAAAGTACACCCAGACCCCACCATGGTCATCAAGTACCCAGACCCCTGTGGGTTCCATAGAGGTACCGCCCCACCATGGGTCATCCTGCCATAGAGGTACCTGAACCCACCATGGGTCATCCTGCCATAAGTACACCCAGACCCCACCATGGGTCATCCATAGGGTACCCAGACCACATGGGTCATCCTGCCATAGGGTACACCAGACACTGGCCAGTGTCCTGCCATAGAGGTACACCCAGACCCACATGGTCATCCTGCCATGGGGTACACCCAGACCCCTGGGTTCATGCTGCAAGAAATTAAGACCCCCACCATGGGTCATCCTTCTAGAGGTACACCCAGACCACATAGCAGATCATCCTCCATAGAGTGCACTGACCCACCATGGGTCATCCCACTGCCATAAGTACACCCAACCCCCACCATGGGTCATCCTGCATAAGTTTAACTCACCATGGTCATCCTTCCTAAGTACACCAGACCACTGTGGGTCATCGCCCTGAGGTACACCCAGAACCCTTGGGTCATCCTGCCATAAGTACACCAGACCCCACCATGGGTCATCCTGCCATGAGGTACACCCAGACCCCACCATGGGTCATCCTGCCATAGAAGGTACACCCAGACCCCACCTGTGGGTCATCCTGCCATAAGTACCCAGACCCACCATGGGTCATCCTGCTAAGTACCCAGACCCCACCATGGGTCATCCTGCCATAGAGGTACACCAGACCCCCCATGGTGTCCTGCCATAAGTACACCCAGACACCATGGGTCATCCTGCCATAGAGGTACACACCCAGACCCCTGCATGGGGTCATCCTGCCATGAGGTACACCCAGACACATGGGTCATCCTGCCATAAGTACACCCAGACCCCACCGTATCCTGCCATAAGTACACACAGACCCCACCGGTCATCCTGCCTATAAGTACACCGAGCCCACCATGGGTCATCCTGCCATAGAGGTACACCCAGACCCCACCATGGGTCATCCTGCCATAGAGGTACACACACAGACCCCACCATGGGTCATCCTGCCATAAATAACCCCCCACCATGGGTCATCCTGCCATAAGTACACACACAGACCCCACCATGGGTCATCCTTCCATAGAGGTACACCCCAGACACCATGGGTCATCCTGCCCTAGAGGTACAGACCCCCACCATGGGTCATCCTGCCCTAGAGGTACAGACCCCCCACCATGGGTCATCCTGTATAGGTACACCCAGACCCCACCTGGGTCATCCTGCCATAGAGGTACACCCAGACCCCACCATGGGTCATCCTGCCATAGAGTACACCCAGACCCCACCATGGGTCATCCTGCCATAGAGTACACCCAGACTCTGGGTCATGCCCTGAGGTACACCCAGACCCCACCATGGGTCATCCTGCCATAGAGGTACACGACCCCACCATGGGTCATCCTGCCATAGAGGTACAGACCCCACCATGGGTCATCCTTCCCTAGAGTACACCCAGACCCACCATGGGTCATCCTGCCTAGAGGTACACCCAGACCCCACCATGGGTCATCCTGCCTAGAGTACACAGACCCCACATGGGTCATCCTGCCTAGAGGTACACCCAGACCCCACCATTGGGTCATCCTGCCCTAGAGGTACCCAGACCCCACCATGGGTCATCCTGCCATAGAGGTACCACAGACCCACCATGGGTCATCCTGCCATGGGGGTACACACAGACCCCCCACCATGGGTCATCCTGCCATAAAAGGTACACCCAAGACCCCCACCAGATGTCCACTACACTCTGAGGTACACCCAGACCCCACCATGGGTCATCCTTCCCTAAGTACACCAGTTCCTCATGGGTCATCCCTTCCTAAGTACACCCAGACCCCACCATGGTCATGCTCGCAAGAGGTACACCCAGACCCTACATGGGTCACATCCTGCCATAGAGGTACACCCGGAACCCCCTGCATGGGTCATCCTGCCCTAAATTTTTAGGCCACATGTGATCATCCTGCCATAGAGGTACACAGACCCCACCATTGGGTCGTCCTGCTGAGGCACACAGACCCCCCTGCATGGTCATCCTGCCATAAGTACACCCAGACCCCACCACTTGGGTCATCCTGCCATAAGTACACCAGACCCCACCATGGGTCATCCTGCCATAAGTGCAGACCCCACCATGGGTCATCCTGCCATAGAGGTACACCCAGACCCCCCACCATGGGTCATCACCTAGAGTACACAGACCCACCATGGGTCATGTCCTGCCATAAGTACACCTAAGAACCCCCACCTTGGGTCATCTATAAGTACGCAGACCCCACCATGGTCATCTGCCATAAGTACTAAACCCCACCATGGGTCATCCTGCCATAGAGAGTACACCCAGACCTATGGGTCATCCTGCCATAAATTGCCACCCAGACCCCACCATGGGTCATCCTGCCATAAGTACCCAGACCCCACCATGGGTCATCCTTCCCTAAGTACACCCAGACCCTATGGGTCATGCTGTAAAAGGTACACCCAGACCCCACCATGGGTCATCCTGCCCATAGAGAGTACACCCAGACCCCACCATGGGTCATCCTTCCTAAGTACAGATTACATAGCTATTTGCCTGCCACTCAAAGGTACTACAGACTTTACCATAGGTGCATCCTTCCCTAGAGAATGCACCCAGGGCTTCCACTTTGAGATCATTGCAAGGTACACCCAGACCCCACTGCATGGGTCATCCTGCCATAAGTACACCCAGACCCCACAGATTCATCCTGCCCCCTAGAGGTACACCCAGACCCCACCATGGGTCATCTGCTATAGAGGTACACAGACCCCACCATGGGTCATCCTGCCTAGAGGCACAGACCCCACCTGCATGGTCCTCCTGCACCGAGGTACACCCAGACCCCACCATGGGTCATCCTGCCATAAATTTTTAGACCCCCACCACCAGGTCATCCTGCCATCAGGGTACACAGACCCCTGCTGGTCTCTATGGTACACACACAGACCCCACCATGGGGTCCATCCACCACCATAGAGGTACACCCAGACCCACCATGGGTCATCCTGCATAAGTACACACCCAGAACCCCACCATGGGTCATCCTGCTATAGAGGCTGCAGACTACCATGGGTGTCCTGCCATAGAGGTACACCCAGACCCCACCATGGGTCATCCTGCCATAGAGGTACACCAGACCCACCATGGGTCATCCTGCCATAGAGGTACACCCAGACCCCACCATGGGTCATCCTGCCATAGAGTACACCATTTCCTTGGGTCATCACCACCGCAGAGAGTACCCAGACCCCACCATGGGTCATCCTGCCATAGAGTACACCCGAACCCCACCATGGGTCATCCTGCCATAGAGGTACACAGACCCCACCATGGGTCATCCTGCCATAGAGGTACCCAGACCCCACCATGGGTCATCCTGCCATAGAGGTACACCCAGACCCCACCATGGGTCATCCTGCCATAGAGGTACACCCAGACCCCACCATGGGTCATCCTGCCATAGAGGTACACCCAGACCCCACCATGGGTCATCCTGCCCTAGAGGTACACCCAGACCCCACCATGGGTCATCCTGCCATAGAGGTACACCCAGACCCCACCATGGGTCATCCTGCCATAGAGGTACACCCAGACCCCACCATGGGTCATCCTGCCATAGAGGTACACCCAGACCCCACCATGGGTCATCCTGCCATAGAGGTACACAGGAGGTCATTACTCACCATTAGTCCAGCCGGTGGCAGTGTTACCAGGGTGTAGGAGACGTTAACTATGATTAGTGTTGAGTGTTATGTTTATTTTAGAGGTCAATGCCGCTTGAGTTAGTTTCCAGGTCATTGCCGCGACGTTTCTTGTGTTGGTGCAGCCGCTGGCGCTGCCTGCTCGCTATCTTATTAACGATCAGTCAAGTTAACGTCGTTCGTGCTCCATTAGTTGCTAAATTATCGGAGGATATCATGTAATCTGATTGTGGTTTCATTCAGATTTTTAATATAATAGATAATTTGCCTTCCGCTGGTACGGTATATGTTAAGAGTGCTATACACAGTATATCACATTTATAGGCTCAGTGTTGTCGAGAGGCCACATTATTTACTTTAACAGGCTCTTGAAACCGGTTTTAGCTTGTCATATACAGTAGGGTAGTAGTAGTGTTGTGTGGCGTGGCTAGATGTGTTGATGTTGGAACGCCCATTTTCCGAATGTCGGCGCTGGAATGACGAGCCCGTTTTCTGTGAGAGCCTGGAATAGCCGCCTCCCCTGCGCACCAGTCGACCCGGACTTATCGATCCAGGCCTCGCAGAGCCTGCACCCGCGGTCCCCACTGGTGCCTCGCTCCAGGCACTCACTGGACTGTGACGTCACGCGTGCTTCATACATACACATTCAGTTACGTTCACCAGATTTAATGGGCTAGAAACTGGCTTAAATTGAGCATGGTTTAATTTATATCAAGGTTTGTGTATCTTAAGAGACGTTCATTAAGCAAGTGTCGAGTCCAGCGAACAAGTGTAGGTAGTAGAAAGTTTTGTGTGATGGCTTTGTTGGTGTTTCTTATATGATTGTTATCGTAAGGCGTTGTGGCGCTCTTCTCAACGTGCGAGGGTTGTGAGTCTGTAGGGTGACGGTGGCTCCCCTCGCTGCCTCCTTGGTGCCGACTGATTCCTGCACTGGGGCTCTCCCGGCTTTAGCGCGCCAGTACCACGTTGTCTCCCTCTTAAACCCCTCTTCCTAACTCTCGCCCTTCCCCTCGCAGCTGTGGTAGCGTGACAGGTGTGTGGTGACGTGTAGAGGGAGTGTGGTCACCCGGTGCAGTAGTACAGGTGTACAGTACAGTACAAGTGAAGCTCCCGGTGCTGCAGGCTACGGTTCCTCCCTGCTTGGCTCGCCCGCACCACCTCAGTTCCTTGCTGCCGGGTCTCTGCTACTGCTGCTACACACTGCTCCTGCTGTTGCTGCCGCCTCTGCTTGTGGTGCTGAAAATACAGGTGGTGTACCTGTACTTTGGTGTAGGTAGTGGTGCTTAAGACAAGCGTGGTGACGTATTGTGGTGTTTACTGTTTACTGAGTGTTTTAAACGTCCGAGTGTACAAAGGCTGGTGCCGCTGTAGCACTTGACCCAGCTGGTGTTGGTGGAGGCATTGACGGTGGTGTGGGAGTGACGCTTACTGCTCCCTCCTTTCCTATTTACGAAAGATCTCTCTTGGGATATACTGAAGACTGTCAAGTGTTAAGGTTCAGCTGCACCCCTTCAGCCAAGGCTCTCTACTAGTGTCTCAAGGTAAGTGCGTGATGATACACTCTGACTCCACTCCACGGTGGGTGGGTGTTGCTGCCTCCATCTCTGCCTGACTGAACATAGATCGTGGAAGCCGCCTTATGTACCACGTACACGACCTTAATTACCACCAAGGCAAATATTTAACAAGAGTCGGTATATAAACGAGAAGTATTGCGGTCATATATTAAATTAAAAGCAGACTGCAGCATAAAGAAACACTGGGTAAAAGATTGCCTACTAACTGCGAAATTAATGAATGGACGCTGAATGAATTTTTTTGTTTTTGCTTTTGAATCAACTCTCGTCTGGTCTAAAATATATGAGTAAAGTGAAATATTTCGTTTGGTCGAACACCCACTGCATCTACTGAACAATTGTCGGTTATACTGAACACTGACGTTATCAAACATTTCTGGATACAGCACACACACACACACACACACACACACACACACACACACACACACACACACACACGGCCGGTATCGACCAAACGTAGACTCCAGCCAACAAAATTGTCTGCAGTATCGAGCCAATGGATGAAACAGTTGTATAAAACATATTTTTTATGTTCTGATGAATGAATCACCAAGCATAACATTTGTTTCTTACTAGACGAGTCGTGTGACGCAAAATGCGATGGGATGCAGCCTACTATGGCTCCTGCCGGAGTAGTTTAAATTGATTTGATTGAACAAGAAGCTAATACAAGCAGTGAGGAAGGCTTCCGTGAAACAATAATTAGTTAGGACGAGGAAACACCGGCTGGTAGTCCAACAAAGTCGCCGGCTGGACTCCTCACACGCCCACCAGATTAAACAAGTATTGGTAGTGACAATCTAACGCCAGCGGTATCAAACAGACGTCAGCAGTGTCAGACTAACGTCCAAGAGACGCCCACCAGATAAAAAACTGGTAGCTGTTGTGATCTCTCAACGGTAAAAAGAAATGTTAAAGAAATCAACAATAACAACTGACTGAATCAATCGAACGACTGTGTGATTGAAGAGACCTGGACAGTACTGTACGGAGGTGACCTGGACAGTACTGTATGGAGGTGACCTGGACAGTACTGTACGGAGGTGACCTGGACAGTACTGTACGGAGGTGACCTGGACAGTACTGTACGGAGGTGACCTGGACAGTTCTGTACGGAGGTGACCTGGACAGTACTGTACGGAGGTGACCTGGGCAGTAGTGTACGGAGGTGACCTGGGCAGTAGTGTACGGAGGTGACCTGGACAGTACTGTACGGAGGTGACCTGGACAGGTTCTACGGAGGTGACCTGGACAGTATGGGTGACCTGGGCAGTGGTGTACGCAGGTGACCTGGGCAGTGGTGTACGGAGGTGACCTGGACAGTACTGTAGGTGCCCTGGACAGTTCTGTACGGAGGTGACCTGGACAGTGCTGTGGAGGTGACCTGGACAGTTCTGTACGGAGGTGACCTGGATAGGTGCGGAGATGAACCTGGGCAGTGCTGTACGGAGGTGACCTGGACAGTACTGTGCAGGTGACTGTGGACAGTACTGTACAGGTGACCTGCAGTGCTGTACGGAGTGACCTGGACAGTACTGTGGGGGTGACCTGGACAGTTCTGTACGGAGGTGACCTGGACAGTGACTGTGCGGAGGTGACCTGGACAGTACTGTACGGAGGTGACCTGGACAGTACTGTACGGAGGTGACCTGCACAGTACTGTACGGAGGTGACCTGGACAGTACTGTACGGAGGTGACCTGGACAGTACTGTACGGAGGTGACCTGGACAGTACTGTACGGAGGTGACCTGGACAGTACTGTACGGAGGTGACCTGGACAGTACTGTACGGAGGTGACCTGGACAGTAGTGTGCTGGTGATCTGGACAGCACTGTACGGAGGAGACTTGGACAGTGATGCTGTACAGGGGAGACTTGGAAGTGCTGTACCGGAGTGACCTGGACACTACTACACGGTGACCTGGACAGTACTGCACAGGAGGTGACCTGGATTAGTACTGTGCAGAGGACTGGACATTACTGTTGCTGTACGGAGGAGACCTAGACAGTACTGTACGGATGTGACCTGGACAGTAGTGTACGTGGGTGACCTGGGACAGTACTGTGCAGGAGTGACCTGGACAGTGGTGTACGTAGGTGACCTGGACATTACTGTTACTGTACGGAGGTGACTTGGACAGTACTGTACGGAGGTGACCTGGACAGTAGTGTACGTAGGTGACCTGGACAGTACTGTATGGAGGTGACCTGGACAGTACTGTACGGAGGTGACCTGGACAGTAGTGTACGGAGGTGACCTGGACAGTACTCTACGGAGGTGACCTGAACAGTACTCTACGGAGGTGACCTGGACAGTAGTGTACGGAGGTGATCTGAACAGTACTGTACGGATGGCGGCTCTGCCACTGTGGGACATATGCGCGCATCTTGGGACAGTGTGGGACATATGCGCGCATCTTGGGACAGTGTGGGACATATGCGCGCATCTTGGGACAGCGTGGGACATGTGCGCACAGTTTGGTAGTGTGTGACATTTGTAAACATCTCGGGACAATATTGAACGTTTGCGCACATTTGGAATGCAACGTTTCCGACAGAGTGGAAAGAGTTTCAGACACGTACGGTCTGTCTCGAACACAAACCGGCTGTATGAAAGTGAACAACCTTAACAGTAGTCATGTAAGTGTGTATCATAACCCATATGACTTGAACACGTCTTTGACACTCTTAAATGTAATAGCTGACTTAAGTAATATCCCCTTTAATTGTTATTTTTAAGTGTGATGCCATCGTAAAGTAATTAATGTACTAAGTAAATGTATTGACACTTTAAATTCATGACCTCGCTTAAAAACTTCAAATATAATACAAATTACTGATTATGTAAGCCCAGTCTGTGTTCATTTAATTTGTTTTCAGTTGAGAAAATTTTAAGTTCTTTTCAGCTATTTATTACATTTAACGTATTTAAGGGATTAATTACTGTACACTAACGATAATTATTACATTTTAGGGAATCGAAGGAGAAAAATTACCTTAAACACACATCAATTCCTCCACTCATTGTTTGTGTCAGCGGGGAGGTGTTTGCGACAGCGGGGAGGTGTTTGTGATAGTGGGGAGGTGTTTGTGACAGCGGGGAGGTGTTTGTGACAGCGGGGAGGTGTTTGTGACAGTGGGGAGGTGTTTGTGACAGCGGGGAGGTGTTTGTGACAGTGGGGAGGTGTTTGTGACAGCGGGGAGGTGTTTGTGACAGCGGGGAGGTGTTTGTGACAGTGGGGAGGTGTTTGCGACAGTGGGGAGGTGTTTGCGACAGCGGGGAGGTGTAGGAGGCTGTGTGGGTGTAGGAGGCTGTGTGGGTGTAGGAGGCTGTGTGGGTGTAGGAGGCTGTGTGGGTGTAGGAGGCTGTGTGGGTGTAGGGCTGTGTGGGTGTGGGGCTGTGTGGGTGTAGGGAGGTTGTGTGTAGGTGTGGGGAGGTTGTGTGGGCGTGGGTGTGGGGCTGTGGGTGTGGGGAGGCTGTGTGGGTGTGGGGTTGTGTGGGTGTGGGAGGCTGTGTGGGTGTGGGGAGGCTGTGTGTGGGTGTGGGAGGTTGTGGGCGTGGGTGTAGGAGGTTGTGTGTGTGTGTGTGGGTGTAGGAGGTTGTGTGGGCATGGGTGTAGGGAGGGTTGTGTGGGCGTGGGTGTGGGGTTGTGTGGGTGTGGGTGTAGGAGGTTGTGTGTGGGCGTGGGTGTGGGAGGTTGTGTGGTGTAGGAGGTTGTGTGGGCGTGGGTGTAGGAAGTTGTGTGGGCGTAGGAGGTTGCGTGGGTTAAGGTCGGTTAGATTAAAGTTTTA